TTGCATGGCCACACCCTTACACATAATATTCTTGTAGAACCACATGTAGGATTGCATGGCCACACCCTTACACATAATATTCCTGTAGAACCACATGTAGGATTGCATGGCCATACCCTTACACATAATATTCTTGTAGAACCACATGTAGGATTGCATGGCCATACCCTTACACATAATATTCTTGTAGAACCACATGTAGGATTGCATGGCCACACCCTTACACATAATATTCCTGTAGAACCACATGTAGGATTGCATGGCTACACCCTTACACATAATATTCTTGTAGAACCACATGTAGAATTGCATGGCCATACCCTTACACATAATATTCCTGTAGAACCACATGTGGGAATGAACATGTTTCTAGAAGAACCAATAAAATTATCAACAAGCCAGTAAAACAAATTACAATGTATTTTCAACACATTAATTCCACACTTGGATAGCAACAGGTAATTTCTGGCTACAAATGATATGGTTTAATGTCATTAAAAGTATGCTTAAAATATATTTATGATCATATTGCACACTTAATTTGGTAAGGGCCCCTTACAAAATATATCCCTGTAGAACCAAGTGCAAGATTATATGATCACATCCTTACACAGTCCAGCCATCGTAGAAAAAAAAGCAGAAAGTTTGTCATGATTATCATTGAAGACATTAACATACACATTATATAAGCTTCTGTTATTGAACAACCTAAATTAGCTAGGTCTATAGAGTGCATAGTATTAGTATATTGTGAAACAAATACAGAAACATAATTGCGAATTAATGACGGTAGTCGTAGGGAGTTGTTTCCTCAACATCAAACAAAACCTTGTCACATGTATTAGCCTGCAATGCATGATGGGTAATTTATTCAAATTATTTGCATATATGAATCTAGAATATGTGCTCATACCATGTTTATTTGTCGGACTACTGACTGCTGAGGTCAAGTGTAAATGAAAGTTTGAAGCAATGGACTGCAAAAGAATACAAGACAAATAAATACTTATTTCAGTTATCAAATTAATTTCTAGTGATAATAATGTACAAAATTCTTTGGATTCACAATATTTCAATATCACAAGCAAATCATATTACATGTGAGCAACAGATGCACTCCATTCTTATATATTGTAACCAGACTACTGGGTATTTACTTACTGATGTAGTCAGGGGGCATGCTTCCAATCCCCACACAACATATGTAATTGCTTATAACTGGAAAAATCTGTGTATAAAATAACAATGCTCTCTGAATGAATTTATGTGATAATAAGTTACCCACTTTGCAATACAAATCACAGCCAATACTGATAAATGATAAATGACATGTGCCCCAGGGGTCCATGTCAACTTAAAACACACTCATAATAGTATTGTGCTGAGCAGCATGGACTTCCCAGAATGACTAGACCATTCAAAACTCAAGGTTGTTTTCTCCCATCATGAAAGTCCAAGACTGGGAAACAACCCCTAATTTTAAGATCAGCTGGAATCAGTTCTGGACGAGTCACTCTACTGACTGAGCTAAGCAGGTGATTGTAAGTTCCCTGTTATTACACTGTGATTTGTCTGCTCATCTGATCAATGGCCCATTGTTCATCTGCACAAGATGTTGCATAATACACGGGCAAAGCAATGGTGTCATCAGATAATATGTAAATGAGCATCAACTATTTCAAACAAAGAGAATCACCAAGGGTCACATCTCGGAGTTGGTGCTTATCTATCACGTAAACTGGTGAACTAAACGTTTCCCATCTATTAACATAATTAACATTTCTATCACACTAGTCTTTATTTTAACCTAATACAAAAATAAAACATCCTCTATGGTTTCAGTGGACCATGAATCATTCATACATTTTATACAAAGTGATAAGGAGTTGACATACGGTGTTCACTCAGATAGGCGTACATCTTGAATTTCAGTTCAAAGTTCATAATTCATACATGTTGACCCCACAATCCCATGCCATGGAGAACATAATGATGCAGACATGATTTATAACAAAAACAAAACTTTACCAAATGGTATTACTTTTTCCATGTTTTAATGAATCACAATTGTTATCACTATTATAGGAATATTACTTAATAATTTGCCAAGATTTTGTATTAAAAAAATGTCATAAATCGATATAAAATCGTTTTAAGTCATTGGGATCACATGCAAACAATGAGTGTGGAGGATGGTGGCAATACAGCACTGATGAGGAAGACAGGCAACAACACTATAGCTCAAGTGTAGAGAACAATAATACTACAGCATATGGGGGGGACAATGGCAATACAGGCACGGTGTGGGGAGGTCGATAGCACATTTTGGAGATGACAATGGCACTATGGCACATTTGAAGGACTATGGCGCTATGGCACGTGTGAAGACAGGTGGCACTATGACATATGTGGAGGACAATGACACTATCGCATATGTGGAGGACAATGACCTATCACATGTGTGGAGGACAATGACACTATCGCATATGTGGAGGACAATGACACTATCACATGTGTGGAGGACAA